AATAAAATACTGATACATGCTGCAACATGTATGAACCTTGAAAACATTATGCTAAGTGAAAGAAATCAGAAACAAAAGGCTATATATTATATAAATCCATTTATATGAATGCCCAGAATAGGCAAACTCATAGAGACAGAAACTGGGTTAGAGGTTACCAGGGGATAGTGGGAGAAGAAAGCTGGGACTGATTGCTAATAGGTATGAGGTTTCTTGTGGGGTTGGTGGGGATTTTCTGGAATTAGTGGTGATGGCTGCACAACACAGCAAATACAGTGACCTCCCTCACTCAAAGCCCACCTGGAGTCGTGGAACTGGGACTATTAGAGATAAATTATTCAACTCTTTTGTTTTGTTGATAGGGAAATCAAAACCTAGAAAGAGGATGGGACTTCCTCAAAGTTACAGAATGAGTCAATGGCATTGCTGGATCTAAATATTGTATTCCTCTTTCTAGTAGTACATGTTCTTGTCTAAACTAGATTATACAAGCATCTCCCCTGACTCTACTGGTAGCCCCTGTTACCAATAAAAGAAGCTTCAGATTTCCATTTTCTTCCCTGACGTCTGAAATCAGGTCCACTTCACAGGTTAGGTGTTAGGCGACTCACTCCAAATACCAACTTATTTGTACCCATCCAACAATTAGACTGAAGTGTTTCAATAGCCTTGCCTTCCTCATTCTGGCATGTTGAAAAATGAGATAAAAGTAGATTTTTCTGCAAATTGTTGCTTATATTTCTAACCAGAACTAAGCTTGGTGGACATGCTATGGAAAAGGACCTGTGCTGAGCTCTTTGGGAAATCTCTTTTTAGAGACAGGGTCTCACTCTGTTGCTCAAGCTGGAATGCAGTGGCGTGATCATAGCTCACTGCAGCGTAAAACTCCTGGCCTCCAACGATCCTCCAGCCTTAGCTTCCTGCGTAGTTGGAATTACAGGCATGAGCCATCATGCCTGGCTCTAGGAGAATTTTTTAAATGGGCTAAGTTTTACTCCTCTAATTCAAGGAGTTTGTTCTTGATGAAAGTACAGGTGTGCAGAAATAACACAACCTAGAATGTAGCAACTCCCCTTAGAATGGAAGGAAACCAATAGCTTGGGAGTTGCAAGCACAAAGTCTAAATGGGATATCAAAGAAGAATCAACAGAAGTAATGACGTTTGGATTGAGAGGTAAGGGATAGGTAAAGGGCACAGCAAGAATAAAGAGGCAAAACCAAAAAAGAATGAAAACATTAGGGTGAAGCTTGGAATATGTGTAGAGAAATTGTGGAAAACAAAGTAAGAAGTGTTGGGGACACGTTCTAGAGAGCTGTTAATGCCAGGATTAAGAAAAAGTGTTTCATTTCCTAGGCAGCAGGATGTTGTTGAGAGGTGGGGTAGGGGTTAGGGACAGGCACTGTCGTTCACACTGGTAAAGCCTTGGAGACAAAATCTGACATTATTTATCAAACTCTTAGATAGCTGCACATCATCTGGAATTTCACTTCTAGGTATTTTTTACTAAGAGGTAAGGATGTTCCTTACAACATTGTTTCTAATATTAGGAAATTAGAAACAACAGAAATATCTAACTATGGGATAATGGATCTCAACTGGGGTAATTTGGAAATGTCTAGAGATATTTTTGGTTGTTACAACTTGAGGCAGATGTTACTGTTGTCTAGGATAGAAATCAGAGTAAACATCCTGCAACATATAGGACAGCCTCCCATGACAAAGAATTACTGGACCCAAAATGTTGATAGTGTCAAGGTTGAAAAACCTGGCTGTGGAGGGTAGTACTATGGTGTTCCAGTACCCCTATACAGTGAAATGCTTTGCAATAATTAACATGAATGGGACAGGCTGGGCATAGTGGCTCATACCTATAATCCCAGCACTTTGGGAAGCTGAGGTGGGTAGATCACTTCAATCCAGGAGTTCAAGACCAGCTTGGGCAACATAGTGAGACCCCCATCTCTATGAAAAATGCAAAAATTAGCTGGGCATGGAAGTGTACACCTTTAGTCCCAACTACTCAGGTGACTGAGGTGGGAGGATCCTGGAGGTGGAGGTTACAGTGAACTGAGATCGTGCCACTGCATTCTAGCCTGGGTGACAGAGTGAGACCCTGTCTTAAAAAAAAAAAAAAAGAATGGGAAATACCCCTGAAAGATAATCATGATATAGAGTTCATGGCCCTGCCACCGTGAATGTGTCTAATGTCTCCTAAGCAGTATTGGGCTGGTTACTATTTGATAGGCCAACACTTGGGAACTGGGTACTATAGGAATTTTTTTTTTTTTTTTGAGAGATGAAGGTCTCACTTGAACCTAGCTGGTCTCCAACTTCTGGGCTCAATTAATCCTCCCACCTCAGCCTCTTGAATACTACAGGTATAGCCCAACTCACACGGATCTTCTTTTATTTATTTATTTATTTATTTTTGCTCATTTACTGAGCAGGATCTTCTAATTCAATTAAATTCTGACATTATGTACCTGGAGAGAGCCTCAGATCCCCTAGGTTGAGAGCTCAGTCCTGCAAGACTGTTTCCCTGTGCCTCACCTTTGGGCCTGCAGTACTTCTGACCAGCCAGATTCAAGTTGAAGTTCCCATGACCTCCTCTTTGGGTTCAATTAATTACTAGAGCGGCTCACAGAACTCAAGGAAATTTACTTACCTTTACTGATTTGTTATAAAGGATATCACAAAGGATACAGATGAAGACCGGCATTGGGCGAGGTGTCAGGGAAGAGACTCTGGGCTTGGACGTTTCCCTCTAGGAACCTCCATGTGTTCAGCTGTCCAGAAGCTTATCTGAGCCCTGTCCTTTAGAGTTTTTATGGAGGTTTCATTACACAGGCATGATTGATTAAACCATTGGACACTGATGATCAACTAAAGCGTTGGGCCCCTTTCCCCGCCCTGGAGGTGGAGGGTGGGTTGAAAGTCCCACCCTCTAACTGTGGCTTAGTCTTTCAGGCAACCAGCCACCCAGCCTGAATCTACCTAGGGATTACCAGGCACCAGTCAATCATTATTAGTATACAAAAATACATCACCCTAGAGATTCTAAGGATGTTAGAAGTCGCGTTATCTGGAAATAGAGTTGAAGGCCAAATATATATATCACAATATCTGAATACCAAGGATGTGCCAGGAACCCTTGCAAGGCCTAGGGAATCAACCCTGACAGCTCCCTGCCCTCACGAAGCTCACAGTGTAGTGGGAGGACAGACAACAGGACAAGGAAACAAAAAACAAACATGACGATTGCCAATAGTAATAAATGTAACAGAAAAAATAAATAGGCCGATATGACAGGTAGAAACCAGGGAGGGGGTATTTGGAGGCCACTTGGGATAAGATAACTAGAGATGACCTGTATGACCTGAAATCTGGAAGTAAAGAAGGAGATGGCGTGCAGAGAGCTGAGAAAACACATTGGGCCAGAGTTCTAGTTCTTTGTGATGGGAGTGTCTGGAAGGTTCGTGTTGCTGCGCAAGCTGCCAGATCGGGGGTGGGGAGTGGACACCTGTGCTGGATGGGTGCAGTGCCCCAAAATTTATTACGTTATACAACAAAGGAGGCAATCTACTTTCAAGGCATTTACAGAGTTCAAAGTGCTAGCAACTGTCTATAATTATGCATTCCACATAGTTTACAACACAGGCTCTAGCAGATATAGTCATGGAAGCTAAAGTAAGTCTCATCCAGAAAGGAAAGTGCTCTGCCTCCTTCCTAGTGGGCAGCAGGGGCGTCTTAGGATTCTGGTATTTCAAAGATTCACTGGAGTTGATAGAACGTGGACTATTGTGCGGACCTCTCTCTTTCTCTCTCTCTTTCTTTTTCTTTCTCTCTCTCTCTCTTTCTTTCTTTCTCTCTCTCTCTTTCTTCTTTTGACAAAGTCTAGCTCTTGTCACCCAGGCTGGGAGTGCAATGGCACGATTTTGGCTCACTGCAACCTCTACCTCCTGGGTTCAAGCAGTTCTCCTGCCTCAGCCTCCCGAGTAACTAGGATTACAGGCGGTGCCACCATGCTGGCTAATTTTTGTATTTTCAGTAGAATGGGGTTTCACCATGTTACCCAGTCTGGTCTTGAACTCCTGACCTCAAGTGATCCACCCACCTCGGCCTCCCACCACACCCAGCCCACTGTGTGTGTACTTCTGACAGACAACCTAAGAAAGTCCAGGCTGAAGCCAGCAAAAACACATTAAAGCACCAGGAGAAAGATCGAGTGGGTTGAAGGGAAACAGATTTTTAAAGTTAAGGCTCTGTGAAATGGATAGAGTTAACTAGAGGTAAAAAATAAAATGTTAACTAGAGGTTACCTCTGAGTAACAGGATTATGGGTGATTTTAATTGTCTTCTTTGGGTATGTTCGACAGTGAATATAATATGTATTACTTTTGGAATAAAGGGAAAACTGAGAAAGGTGTGTTGTTTTATAATGGCCCTTAGGTTGCTAAAATTAGAGAGTCATTGAAATCTAAAGCTGATAAAAACTTTAGTGCCAAGGTTGTGAAATGGGAGACTACAGGTACCAGACCCGTAATGTACATGAGGACAGCAGGCCGAGAGGCCCTGAACAGTGAAAGACCACATGGGAGAAGCCCCCGGGAGGGGGAGTGGAAGGGTGAGGCAAGGGGCCGGGGTATGCAGAGTCTGGCATGCAGTCACTTCTCAGCTTCAGCCATTCCTGCCATGGAGGGACATGGACAGGGGAGCCAAACAAATCTCCTAAACAGTAAATGTCAGTCTTCTGGGTCAGATATTTAAGAAAACTAACAGAGGGCAGAGAAAACACACCCACAGCAAGTAGAGTGTCCCTGTGCTGCCTTTTTGCAACCTCAGCTTTGGTGGTGCTGGAGACCACCTCCTGCTCTGTGCAGATATTTCTTCTTAGCTCTTACTAGAACAAGGTGAAAGAAAACTCTCGCCTTCTCCCCTCTGGCCCTGCAGCATCTGGAACACACTGATCCTCATAATCCTTGTTCTTGAGAAATATTAATGACTTAATCTCCCAAGCCTGCTCCCCCTGCTCCTATGAGGCCATCTCAGTATGTTTTGCAGACAAGACCCAGAGAAGTCCAGGTTGGACTTGGTGCCGACTGCAAAACTACCTTTGGAAGGCCTCCACCCCAGTCCTTCTACAGAGTAGTCAGTGGGACTCCCAGCCATGGGCGAAGTGACAGCAGAGGAGGTGGAGAAGTTCCTGGACTCGAATATTGGCTTTGCCAAACAGTACTACCACCTCCACTACCGAGCCAAGGTCATCTCCGACCTCCTTGGGGCCAAGGAGGCTGCCGTGGACTTCAGCAACTACCACTCCCCGAGCAGCGTGGAGGAGAGTGAAATCATCTTTGATCTCCTGCGGGACTTTCAGGACAATTTACAGACAGAGAAATGCATCTTCAACGTCATGAAGAAGCTGTGCTTTCTCCTGCAGGCAGACCGCATGAGCCTGTTCATGTACAGGACCCGCAACGGGATCGCGGAGCTGGCCACCCGGATTTTCAATGTCCACAAGGATGCTGTCCTTGAGGACTGCCTGGTGATGTCCGACCAGGAGATCGTCTTCCCTTTGGACATGGGCGTTGTGGGCCACGTCGCACACTCTAAGAAGATTGCTAACGTTCCCAACACAGAGGAGGTACTCTTTTCCCCATGAGAGAGAGAGAGGGCATGGGGCATTATTCCATGGGGTTCTGGGGTGCAAGTGGGGTGGGGGGCTATTGGCCACCAAGACTAGGCTGGTACAACATGGGGCTTCTCTTTATTTATTATTTACTCATAATTCTTTATTTTGAAAAAAAAAATTCTTTCTTTCTTTTTTTTTTTTTGTATTTTATGCAAAAATGGGCAATTCTTTTTTAATCAGGGCATGAAATTTGCTTTGGAAATTCTTTCTTTCTTTTTTTTTTTTTTTGAGATGCAGTTTTGCTCTTGTTGCCCAGGCTGGAGTGCAACGGTGCAATCTCGCTCACCACAACCGCCACCTCCCGGCTTCAAGTGATTCTCCTGCCTCAGCCTCCAGTGTACCTGGGATTACAGGCACTTGCCACCACACTCGGCTAATTTTTTTCATTTTTTAATATAGACGGGGTTTCTCCATATTGGCCAGCCTGGTCTCGAACTCCCAGCCTCAGGTGATTCTGCCCACCTTGGCCTCCCAAAGTGCTAGGATTACAGGGGTGATCCACCGTGCCTTGCAGAAAAAAAAAATTTCAAACTTAACAGAAAAGTTTAAAATAATACAAATAATTGTATGTCTTTCATCCAAATTTATCTTTCATTAACATCTTGCCACATTTGCTTTCTCTCTCCATTTTCTCTGACCCACTTGGGAGAAAGTTGCAGACATCATGCCCTTTGTCTCTAAGTGCTGGCAATGCTCCCATCATTGTACTGTGGATAGGTAAGAAATGTCCCTGTTCTGGAAATGCACCTTCCACAGTACCTCCATAGTACATCCACAGTACTTCCACATAGTACTTCCACAATACCTCCAAAGTACTTCCACAGTACTTCCATAGTACCTCCATAGTACTTCCACAGTACTTCCACACAGTACCTCCACAGTACTTCCACACAGCACTCCAGAACAGGGACATTTCTTCCCTATCCACAGTACAATGATGGAATCATAGAAATGTAATGTGGATACAATACCATTATCTGCTGGGAGTAATATCACATACCTGTAGTCCCATCTACTTGGGAGGCTGAGGCAGGAGGATCACTTGAGCCCAGGAGTATGAGACTAGCTTGTGCAACATAGGGAAACTCCTGTCTCTACAAAAAATCAAAAAATTAGCTGGGTGTGGTGGTGCACACCAGTGGTCAGCATCAATATGGTGACTTCCCAGGAGTGAGGGTCCATCAGGCTGCCTAAGGTGGGGTAAACCAGCCCAGGTCAGAAAGAGAGCAGGTCAAATTCCCGTGCTGGTTAGTAGTGGGATCGCACCTGTGAATAACACCGCACTCCAGCCTGGGAAATATAGCAACAACCTGTCTTGAAGAAGAAGAAAAAATGAAAAAAGGCTGGGTGTGGTGGTGCACACCTGTAATCCGAGCACTTTGGGAGGCTGAGGTGGGAAGATCACTTGAGCCCAGAAGTTTGAGACCAGACTAAGCAAGATAGGGAGACCCCTGTCTTTACAAAAAAAAAAAAAAAAAAAAAACTAGCTGGGTGTGGTGCCCACCTGTGGTCCCAGCTACTCTGGAGGCTGAGGTGGGAGCATTGCCTGAGCCCAGGAGGTTGAGGCTGCAGTGAGCCATGATTGCGTCACAGCACTGCAGCCTGGGTGACAGAGTGTGACCCTGTCAAGGAAAGGAAAGGAAAAAGGAAAGGAAAGGAAGGGAAGGGGAAGGGGAACGAAAGGAAAGGAACCATCCAATCAACTGGGCGAAAAGAAAAAAGAAAAAAATTGCTAAAAAGTAAAGAAAAAAGCTGCAACACCATGATCTAATGAACAGTTCATATTCAAAATTGTCATTTGTCTCAGACACCCATGTAGCACTGTCTTTTCAGTCTCCTTGAATCTGAGACAGTTCCTCAGTCTGTCTTTGTTTTCCATGGCACTGACATTTTTGAAGGGTACAAACCAAATCTTTTGTGGAAATGTCCCTTCTTTTGGACTTGTCTGATATTTCTTCATGATTAGATCTAGGTCATGCATTTCTGGCAGGAGCGCCACAGAGGTATTTTCCTTCGTGCTTTACATGCAGGGCATAATGGCAGTCTGTCCCATTACTGGAAGTGTTAAACACTGATCACTTGGTTAAACATTGGCTCTTTCTTTCAGGAGTCCACAGTTCCCTGAGATTCTACTGGCAGTTCTGACAAAGACTTCTTTGATCACCTTGAGCAAATCACACCCTGTCTCTGGACGTTGGCTTTTAAAGGCAGTAATGCAGTTCTCCACCTAGCCCTCTGTCCAGGCCAGCTCCTATTCACCTTCAGGAAAAGTCATGTCCTCAGGGAGGCCCTTTCTAATCCCCCTGTTAGAGCCTCCTCCCTAAGCCATCTCTCATAATAAGCCCTGGAGGTCAGGGACCAGGTCTGCCTTGTCCACCAGGCATTTATTCCAGGACCCAGCACAGTGTCTGGCACAAAGCATGTGCTTGGAAGCACTTGGTAGAAAAGACTCACAATCAAGTAATTATGCAATACTTTCTTTAACTCTATCTCACCCAAAAGAATGTTTGTCCCATCGTGGCAGGGCCCATGCAGGTCTCATTCACTGCTGCACTGGCCAAAACAGGAGCTGTGTTTGGGCATTTCCAAAATCCAGTCTCTAGACATGGTGTGATTTTGTGCTCATTTTACCTCTGGCTTTACTTCAGATTAAGGGTCTCAAGGTTAAAAATCGGGGAGGAAGTGGGCTTCAGAGACTGTCTTATCCGACTGCCTTATTTAATAGACAAAGAAACTAATCCCAGGAGAGCTTGGGCAGAGGCTTGCTAACACTTCACTTGCATTAGGGCAAGAATTCAAGCAGGTCATCAGGGTGCAGTAGCTCAGGCCTGTAATCTCAGTACTCTCGGAGGCCAAGGCAGGCGAATCACTTGGGGTCAGGAGTTCAAGACCAGCCTGGCCAACATGGTGAAACCCTGTCTTTACTAAACATACAAAAATTAGCCAGGCATGGTGGTGGGCACCTGTAATCCCCACTATTTGGGAGGCTGAGGCAGGAGAATCTCTTGAACCTGGGAGGTGGAGGTTGCAGTGAGCCAAGACCGAGCCATGGCACTCCAGCCTGGGCAACAAGAGCAAAACTCCGTCTCAAAAAAAAAATAAAAGAATGCAAACAGGTCATCTTTTAGACTTGGGTTTCTTGGTGTGTCTCTGTGGAAAGCACACCCGGTGGGCTCCCACACAAGGTGCGTGTATCCCGTCATCTCCCCTTGGGCATCCAGGGGCCAGGCAATGGGGCTGCACTCAGGAGACTTTCTGGAGGACTCATCCAACTGGACTGGAGTCTATTCTCCCTTCGACTCTTCCTGGATTGTAACTGTAGCCGACAGGGACTGCCTTACTCGTTTCCATTCATATCAATCTGTGTCATAACTGTCATTATCCCTGTTTCACAGATGATGAAGCAGAAACCCACAAAGTGTTGGTAACTTGCTCAGGGTTATGCAGATAGAAAGTGGCAGACTCCGGCTGGTCCAGGCACACAGGTGTTTATAACTAATTGATCACAGTAAGTTATAGATTTCTTTGTCCCCATCCATTCCTACTGCTTCACTCAGCCACCTAAGAAAAGAAAAAATGGCAGAGAGAAGGGGGATGGGGGAGGGATAGGAGAAATACCTAATGTAGATGACGGGGGAATGGCTGCAGCAAACCAACCTGGCACGTGTATACCTATGTAATAAACCTGCACATTCTGCACATGTACCCCAGAACTTAAAGTATAATAATAAAAAAAAGTGAAAAAAAAAAACAACCCTGGCAGACTGGGAATGATTTGAACCCAGGCACTGACCTTGAGCTCACACTCTTTTTTTTTTTTTTTACTGGCTGGTTCAGCCAGGCAGTCATTACAGATCCTTAATTCCTCTTAATTGCTCTGCTCTTCTGTACGCCCTCCCTCTTTAGAAAATGAGGGCATGGCACTGGGCTTTATTTGAGCAAGGTCATTGGATCATGCAGCAGAGAGTTAAGATCTCATGCTGTGAGGTCAGATCTGGACGTGAACCAGGACTCTGTCACTTTCTAAGAATGTGGTCCTGGTAAACCATTTAGCTTGACTGGGTTTATTTCATATTTTGTAAGATGGGGTAATAATACCCACCCCACAGCGTTGTTTGTTGTAAACATTAAATGAGTGAATGATTTCTCATTAGCAGTGTTCTTGGCACACCGTAATGACTCCTATTGGCAACTCCCATTCCTTGTTCCTATTACAACTCTTTTGTTGTTGTTGTTAAGGATCTATTCTAAGTGATGGAGGCTGTGCCAGGTTTGGGTGGAATTTGGAGGAGAATCCAGTCTTGCCCTTCTGGAGCTTTCAGTTTAGATTCTGTTTGTGGGAAAACAGAAGACAGAGATGCTGAGAGCTTCTATATACCCTGGTGTTAAGGGATTGAGGATACAGGATGTTTTTCTGATTCTAGAAGATCCTGGCTTAGCAGTTTGCAGAGCGTCTGTGCTAAGGGATGGCCTGTTGCCTTCTATTCCTCCCTCAGAGTTTACCCGGGAAACCACACCTCACCTTCCCTGGAAACTTTTGGGGCCTGAGTCACTCTCTCTGGCCAGTGACTTGGGCCTGCAGGTGAAGGCCGTCCATGCCAGTCATCCCTGTATACTTGGTATTTGCATGTGTTTACATCAGGAAATCTTACTCAATTCGCGGCTCTGGGTAGAAGGCAACCTTGACTACCAAATGGAGACTAGGGCTGGGTGAAGAGGAGGAGGAAGGTGTTGTAGGCAAGGGTCTAGATTCTTTCTGAACCACCAAAAAGTGATATTGTCAGCCTTCAGCACCCTCTACAAACCTGGGAAAGGGTTGCAATTGCTGCATTGTTGAAATGTGAAATCACAAAGGAAGTTCTTTTGGACTGTAATGAACTTCCCCACCCCCTCCAAATTCCTACTTATCTTGAGAATTGCATCAGAAAGACTTGCCAGAGGACTGCCAGATAAAATATAAGACGCCCAGTAGAGTTTGAATTTTAGATAAACAAAGAAGAATATTTGAGTAAAAGAAGGTCCCATGCAATATTTTATACATAGTTATACTAAAAAAAATTATTTCTAGTTTACCTGAAATTCAAATTTCATTGGGAAGGCTGCCCACTTGTCATTCAGCATGTACTCGTGTATCAATCCTTTCCTCTTTCTCCTTTCGGGAAAACCCACAGGGCCCATCTGTCCCTGTCTGTGTTATTCACCACTGGTCCCTGGCACCTAGCCCAGTGTCTGGGACAGAGTGAGTACTTACTATAGTTTATTGAGTGAGTGAATGAGTAAATGTCAGCCCTTCTCCTGCACTTCCTATGGCTGATAAATCCCGTTTCTGAAGACCGTACCTGAGATGACTGTCATTTCTAGACCCTCTCACATTTGTTGTCTGCCCCTGCTTTCCTTCATTTCCTGTGAGACATGGCACCCAGCACGCTAGAACAGGGAAAAAAAAAGAAAAACCCTCAAAGAGGGCCTTATCCAATACCCTGACTTCACCAAAGGGAAAACTGAAGCTCAAAGAGTTTTCAACCACTGACAATGTTCTGAGTGGCTGTTGAAGCCACTCATAGGACAAGTTTCTCCTTCTCTGGGCCCCCAGGGTGGTCTGCTTCACATGCTTTGAGTCATGGGCTCATGTTTTACACGATAATCCACTATACCATGAGAACCAGTGAGAACAACCTCATCTTACAGCTCTTTGCATATATAATGCCTGGCATAGTCAGTGCTCAATGAATATGAATGAATCAATCAATCAGTGAATCAATGAATGAATGAGTGGAGCAATTGTGCCACTTACCGCAAGGGAGTTGTCTATGAAATGGGGAAGGTGGCGGTTCTATTTGGCAGGGCTGATGTGAGAGTTAATGAGATAATATATGTAAGTTGTCTAGCTCTGAGCCTAGTGCGTCATTATTACTCAGTAAATAGTAGATCTCATTATGAGACGCAACAGAGCTTGGCGCTGTGAATGTTTGCAAAGGGGAAATGAGGAATCTGGGAATGAGAAGTAGTGCTGCACGGCACTTTAAAATCCAAACTCAGCCAGATGTGGACTCACACCTGTAAACCCGGCACTTTGGGAGGCTGAGGTGGGAGGATCACTTGACCCCAGCAGTTTGGGACTGCCCTGGGCAACACAGCAAAATCCCATCATTACAAAAAATACAAAAATGAGTTGGGTATGGTGGTACACCCCTGTAGGAAGGAGGTTGGGGCTGCAGTGAGCCATGATGGCTCATGCATTCCAGCCTGGATGGCAGAGCAAGACTCTGTCTCAAAAATACATACATACATACGTACATAAAAATGAAATCTCGTGGCCTCCAAGGCCCTGCTGGATCTGGCCCCTGCCTGCCCTCTAACTTCCTTGCCCTCCACTTTCCCTCTCCTTTTACCTCTCTATGCTTCAGGTACACTGATCTTTCTGTTCCTCACAAGGGCCAACCTCATTCCCACCTCCTGGCCTTTGCATGCTCTGTGCTTAGAATGTGCTTCATATACCTGGTTCTCTTGATCCTTCAGCTCTTAGCTCAGCATTCCATCTTCCAAGAAGGCTCCCTGCTCACCAGCCTGCCATCTGATTCATCGCTCTCTATAGCACCATCCAGTCCATTTTCTTCAAAGCAGTTGTCTCAGGCTTTTTTCTCTGTCTCCCCCTTTGAATGTAAGCTTCACCAGAGCAAGAAATTCATTCTTCTTGTTCATTGCTGTAGTTTCAGGGTCTGGAAGAGTACCTAGCATCTAGATAGCACTCTCTTAATGCTAGCTGAATGAATGAATAACTTTGGGCTTTCGCTAGCTCAGTCTTTGATTCTGGGCTTTAAAATAAATATAGGTTGCTCCGGTCCGTGCCTCCAAGATGACAAAGAAAAGAAGAAGCAATGGTCGTGCCAAAAAGGGCCATGGCCACGTGCAGCCTGTTCACTGCACGAACTGTGCCTGACGTGTGCCCAAGGACAAGGCCATTAAGAAATTCGTCATTTGAACGTAGTGGAGGCCACAGCAGTCAGGGACATTTCTGAAGCAAGTGTCTTGGATGCCTTCGATGTGCTTCCCAAGCTGTGTGTGAAGCTACATTATTGTGTGAGTTGTGTAGTTCACAGCAAAGTAGTTAGGAATCGATCTCATGAAGCCCACAGGGACCAAACACCCCCACTACGATGTAGACCTGTGGGTGCTGCCCCACGGCCTCCACCAAAGCCCGTGTAGGGAGCTGAGTCCTTAAAGCAGAAGACGAACTATTCTCTGGATAAAAATGAAATGGAAATTGTACTTAAAATAAATAAATAAATAAATAAATAAATTCAGGCTGGTGCAAAAGTAATCATGGTTTTTGCCATTACTTTTAATAGTTTGAGCTAATTGCCTTCTAAGTCTCCTTCCGCCTTTAATAATCTGAGGTTCTACGGCATGATTGTTTAGAACATTTTACATGCTGAATATATAGGGATGACAATGATCATGTAAATGTCAGTCAATCGGCAGGAGGATTGCTCATGAGGGGAGTTCCAGGACTGAGAACTCAGCGGGAAAGAGCTTTCTGGTAGATTTAGTAACATCTGCCTTGGATGCAGGTGAGGCCCAGGTATTTGCTTTCCCTGATAGAAGTGAACAATGGGAAACTAAAATGACTTCATGAAATGAACCCAAGCATACCCCACCCAGGCCTCTGTGCTCAGGCACTCATCAGTAGCTTAGAAAATGACGCAGGTACCACTTCTTGACTAAGGCCTTTTCAGAGATTTTGCTTAATCCTCAAATGTTAACTCAAGTACAACACTACAAGCTTCTCTTAATTCCTTTACCCTTCACCTGGTTTGAAACAGCTTCACTGATAATAATGCTGTTGACTATTTGTCTAATCCCACTCCAACTAGAAGAAATCTATAGATGCAAAGCATCCCTCACTGAATTCCTCCCTCTCTCCCTCCCTCCCTCCCTCCCTTCCTTCCTTCCTTTTTTAGAGACAGGTTCTTGCTCTGTCTCTGCCTCTCTAAGAGGCAGCAGAGCTGAGGGCAGGTTCTAGAGTTACACACGCGCACACACACACACCACAAACACACACTCTCTCTCTCCACACATGACATTAAACTTCTTGAGTTACAGATCCCCCTCTTGTAAGATGGGCTACTAATGGTACCTATCTCATAGCTTATTGCGAAGATTAAAGTAAGATGATGCAGGGAAAATGCCACGCACACTGCCTGCTAGCAACTATCACTGTTGTACTTACTAAAGTCTTTCCCTGGCTTTCTCTTAGCTCTCCCTTGAGTTTTTATTCTGGGATTAATTGTCATCACCTCAAGAAAGCCTTCTCTAACCCTCTCTCTCCAGGCAAAGTCAGTCCCTCACTCCCGTCCCTGGCACCCACACTGCTTTGCACATGTCTCCTCCACAGCCCTCGGTGGATTGCATCTCAGACCTTCTTCTTCTACTGGATTTTGGAAGCTTCCATGGCAGATGTCATCTCTGATGGCCCTGCCCCTATTGAAGGGGAATCGGTGGCAGTGCCATCATTCATTTGTCAGCAGGGGCTTTGGGGTGTTCCATGGTTCTTGCCCTTCATTTGCCTGTCTGTGCTTATCTCTGCCTTCCTTTAGGATGAGCATTTCTGTGACTTTGTGGACATCCTCACTGAGTACAAGACCAAGAGCATCTTGGCTTCACCCATAATGAATGGGAAGGATGTGGTAGCCATAATCATGGCTGTGAATAAAGTGGATGGCTCCCACTTCACCAAGAGAGATGAAGAGGTAAGAATGCTTTAGAAACTAAGGGTAGCCGTGCTAGCACATTCTCCTAGACTATGAAGTCTCCTCAAGTGTGCTCTTTGGCCTGGCTTCAGTTTCCCCATCTGTCAGAAAGGGAATTCACCTGATGTTCTCTGAGGGAGGCAGGATAAAATAATAGTTGAGACATTGGGGTTTGAAGTCAGGAATAGAGAGATAATTGTTCTGTCTCTCCCAATATCTAGCTGTTTGCCTTGTGCAAGTTATTTAACTTCTTTGAACTTCTGTTTTCTTATTTGTAAAATGTTGATAATTTTTCAGTATCAACCTCATAGGGAATTTAACAGGAAAATTCAATAAACAGTAGCTATTTTTCATTAAGACACTCCCATCAACATCAACATTCTACATTCTGTGAGTTCCATTTATACACTCCCATCAACAGTCTGCATTCTGTGAGTTTTATACTCATGCAACATCTTATGAGTCTGCATTCTAGGATCCATCTGCCCAAATTGTCTCTGATGAAGCTTTGAAAATATTTAGATATTTGCTGATGGTAGAAGTCGCCGGAGGATGGATTTCTTCTTCTCATCTGCCTCCCTTCATGCTGTTTGATTTTTAGATTCTTCTCAAGTACCTCAATTTTGCAAATCTAATCATGAAGGTGTACCACCTGAGTTACCTGCACAACTGTGAAACTCGACGAGGCCAGGTAAGGGGCTTGGGCCAAGGGAATGGACTGGACGTGTCCTTTCCCTGAAGCATTGATGTGGTCAGGACTGGCAGGCAGATGGGAATAAAGGTGCCTAGGAAGCATTCTCTAGTCTCTGGCCAGCATCACAAGTGTTATGAGGTAGTGGTTGTCTATAAAGCTGTATACCAGAGTGGTAATATGTACAAGCTCCAAGTCAGATGGCTTTGATCTGAATCCCTGCTCAACCATGGACTAGCTCTAAGACCCTAAGCGAGTCACTTAATTTCTCTATGCTTCAGTTTCCCCATTTGAAAAATAGGGATGATTATGGTGCCACCCTCGAAAGGTTGCCATTAATAGTAAATGAGATAATGTATACAGGTATTGATCGACTTACGACCTATGCAACTTACGACCATTCAACTTTACGACCGCAATCGGTAGCCACGACTGCTCCACGTCTGGCAGCGCAAACGTTGCCCAGCTGGGCGTACAACAGTGCGGACCAGCTTCCGGCAGCACTACCATCTCCGCGTGCACCATTTCAACTGTACATATAGCCTACTCAACTTACGACCAAATCGTGTTACTACCAGTCCACGGTCCCGACCGTGGTCATAAGTCGAGCACTAGCTGTATAGGGCATTAGGGCTCAATTGAAGTTTCTTATTATTTTTATTAAAGCCTATGAGTTGAATGAAAGGGAAAGAGTTGGACCCAATGTAACACTCAGTTACTTCACCTCCCTGAGCCTCAGTTTCTTTGTCTACAAATGGAAGCTAATTGGACTGGGCATGGTGGCTCACGCCTGTAGTCCCAGCATTTTGGGAGGCCAAGACAGGAGGATTGCTTGAGCCCAGAAGATCAAGACCAGCCTGGGCAACATAGTGAGACCCCATCTCTATTTTTCAAATAAATTTTTTTTAATGAATGATAATTGGCTGGGTAAGGTGGCTCATGCCTATAATCCCAGCACTTTGGGAGGCTAAGGTGGGAGGATTGCTTGAAGCCAGAAGTTTGAAACCAGCTTGGGAAACAATGAAAAATTATTTCTACAAAAAATTTAAAGATTATCTGTGTGCAGTAGTGTGCACCTGTAGTCCCAGCTACTGGGGAGGCTGAGATGGGAGAACTTCTTGAGCCAGGAAGTTAGAGGCTACAGTGAGCTATGATTGTGTTACTGTATTCCAGCCTGGATGACAGAGTAACTCTGCCCCTAAAAAATAAATAAAAATTAAAAACTTTAAAAAATCTAAAGCTAAAAATGGGAGATAGTTAACCTATTTATCTGGGTTATTGTGAAGGTTACGTGAAATAAACTCTACAGAACTTTACAGAATTGTTGTTATTCTCCAGCTAAGTGAGCTACTACTTTGCAACTCAAAATCCTTGAATCTGTTTTTGTATTTTTTCAGATACTTCTGTGGTCTGGGAGCAAAGTCTTTGAAGAACTTACAGACATCGAAAGACAGTTCCACAAAGCCCTGTACACAGTCCGCGCCTTCCTCAACTGTGACAGATACTCTGTGGGTCTCTTAGACATGACCAAGCAGAAGGTGAGAGAACTTCAGCAACAGACATTTCCAAGAAAATATTAAACAGACACTGACTGACAGCTAGAGTCTGGGCACATATTCAGTTGCACAGGGAAGAGGCTGGGTGAATTGGGGTGGTCATACAAAGTTTTACAGAGGTCTTTACTGAGGAGAGGAATATCAGCCTTTAAAGGGGAAAAGTCAATCTAGGACACAGGTGAGTGAAAACAATCTATATTTTCCTTAGTCATTTGGAAAGGAAAAAAAAAAAATGTGCATGTAAAGAAAGCTGACGAGGTGATGAAGGTGAGTGATAAAGAAGTTTCTATGCGGGTTGAAAGTCCAGGAGAGAGTTGCCAACTTCAGGGATTCTTGAAAACTGTCCTGAAAATTGCTTGTAAAGCTTTGCTGCGATTTATCTATTCCAGGGCTCACCCAGGCAACTGAAGTGGAGGCAGAGGCTGACATCTAGTCCCTCACATGCTCAGGGGCCAGATTTGGGGCAGACACAGCAGTTTAGGAGGCAGAGTTCAATGTAGCTCCCAGCAATGTTTTTTTAGATGTTTCCCCAACTTCCTCATTCCTCTTTGTTTATTTGTTTCTGCCTTATGGGGCTGATCATTTTCTGCCTTGGAACAGAGTTTCAGAGTTATCTAAGTTTGTTATGTCTTATCCTGAAAACCCAAGGATTCCATCAGTTTCATTTTCTATGCCTTGTCATGCTGAGGGCAGTGCCCAGGCCAAGGCAGACTCTCCAGATACATTGGATCAAGGGACCACATGGCTCACAGAATCTAGTCCAGAGGCTCCCAAACTTGGCAATTCATCAGAACCTTCTGATGAGCTGATTAAAAAATTGCTGAACTACATTTTCTGATAGTCTACCATTTTTTACTTCATGTTTTACAAACATCTTTCCATGTCAGCACATATGAATTGTTTTAAATAAGCCTTTATATTGAAACAAAGGCCTGGCACAGTGGCTCACACCTGTAATCCCAGCACTTTAGGGGGTTGAGGTGGGAGGATGGCTTGAGGCCAGGAGTTCGAGACCAGCTTGGGCAACATAGGGAGACCTGTCTCTACAAAAAATAAAATAAAAATTTAAAAAGAAGCAAAACATAGACACAGAGAAGAAACATTAGTTATAGCTGCTGATATAACAGCTCAACGAGTGAATGTTCCCACGAAACCACCACCAAAATGAAGGAACAGAACACAACAAACAGCACCTCTGCAGCCTCCTTCATACCCTCTTCAATATCTCCCACAGCCTCCTCCAGAAAGGTACCCACCATCTGACCTATAATACCATATTAGTTTTGCCTTGTTGAGGTTCATATAAATGGAATCCTACAATACACATGCTTTTGCGTTTGGCTTCTTTTGATTCATCCTTATTGTTTCATTTAGCATGAGTTCATTCATTATCATTCCTGTGGACTTTTCTATTATATGAATAATCCGCAACGTATTTATTCATTTCTACTGTTGGTGGACATTTGAGTTTTCAGATCTGGTCTATTGTGAATATTGCTATTATGAACCCTCTGGTACATTAGTAATACACAGTTGCACACTTTCTGTTAGGTATTTACCTAGGAGTAGAATTTCAAAGTACTACCTTTAATAGATATTGCCCATCTGATTTTCAAAATGATTGTACGATTTTATACCCTTACCAGCAACGTATAAAGGATTTCTTCATCGATACTTGGCATTATTATTCTTAGTAACTTTAGTCATTCTGGCGAGCATGTGTTTTATCTGTTTTGTTATCAACATGCATTCCCCTAATGACTGATGAGGTTGAATATTTTAAAATACGTTTATTGACCGTTTGGATATATTATTTTGTGAAGTGACTGTTCACATTTTTTCTCATTTAAAAAAATCACATTGCCTTTTTTATCTCACTGATTTGTAGGAGTTCTTTGCAAATTCTGGGCACAAGTCCACTTTCAAATACATGGGTTGCAAATACAGTCATGCACCACATAATGACATTTTGATCAACAATGACCCGCATAGTCTGTGTCCCATATAATTACAATGGAGCTGAAAAATTCCTATTGCCTCGTGATGTTGTAGTGCAATGCATTCTTCACATTTGTGGTGACGCTGGTATTAAAAAAAAAAAAAGAACCTATTGCTGCACTGCCAGTTGCATAAAAGTATAGCACATACAATGATGTGCTGTAGCACATAGTACTTCATAATAGAAAACTCTGCTACTGGTTTATGTATTTACTATACTACACCTTTCCCCTATTATTTTAGAGTTGACTCCTTCCACTTCTTTATTTATTTATTTTTTAAGACAGGATTTCACCATGTTGGTCAAGCTGGTCTTGAACTCCCCACCTCAAGTGATCCACCCGTCTTGGCCTCCAAAGTGCTTGGATTACAGGCGTGAGCCACCACGCCCGGCCCTCCTTCCACTTATGAAAAAAGAAAAAATTTATTGTGTTTTTAGTAGAGACAGGGTTTCACCATGTTGGCCAGGCTGGTAAAACAGCCTCAGTCAGGTCCTTCAGGAGATATTCCAGAAGAAGGCATTGTTATCATAGGAGATGAGTGCTCCATGCGGCCTTGAAGATTTTCCAGTAGGACAAGGTGTGGTGGTGGAAGATGGTGATATTTATGATCCTGACCCTGTGCAGGCCTAGCCTAATGTGTGTGTTTGTGTCTTAGTTTTTTTTTTTTTTTTTTAAAAAGAAGGGGTTTCACCATGTTGGCCAGGCTGGTCTTGAACTCCTGACCTCAGGTGATCGGCCCACCTTGGCCTCCCAAAGTGCTGAGATTACAGGCGTGAGCCACCATGCCCAGCTGTGTCTTAAAAAAGTTTAGAAAGTAAACAAAAAATTTCAAGAGAAAAAAGCTTGTAGGATAAAGATATAAAGCAAATACTTTTGTTCTGATTCAAGTACCAAAGGCATAAAAAAAGAAAAGAAAGTAACAAAATTTATGATAATTTTTTTAAAAAGGAACTATTTTTATATAGCTGTACTATGTGTTTGTGTGTTAAGCTAAGTGTTATTACAAAAGAGTCAAAACGTTTTTAAAAATAAAAAATTTTATAAAGAAAAATTTTTAAATTTATAAAGTAAAAAAGTTACAAGCCAGGCTTGGTGGCTCATACCTGCAATCCCAGCTACTCAAGAGGCTGACGTGGAAGAATCGCTTGAAGTGAGGGGTCTGCGTCTGTGGTGAGCCATGACGAGCAAGATCCTATCTCTAAATTAATTAATTCATTAAAAAGTACAGTAAGCTATGGTTAATTTACTATTGAAGAAAGAAACTTTTTTTTTTTTTTTTTTTTTTTTTTTTGATACGGAGTCTCGCTCTTGTCATCAGGGCTAGAGTGCAGTGGCGTGATCTTGGCTCACTGCAACCTCTGCCTCCTGGGTTCAAGTGATTCTCCTGCCTCAGCCTCCCAAGTAGCTGGGATTACAGGCGCCTGCCACTACACTCAGCTAATTTTTCGTATGTTTAGTGGAGACGAGGTTTCACCATGTTGGCCAGGCTGGTCTCGAACTCCTGACCTGGTGATTTGCCTGTCTCAGCCTCCCAAAGTCCTGGGCTGACAGGCATGAGCCACCATACCCGGCCCAAGAAATTTTAAAAATACATTAGTGTAGACTAAGTGTACAGTGTTTATAAAGTCTATAATAGTATACAGTAATGTCCTAGGTAGGCTTTCATATTCACTCACCACTCACCCAGAGCAACTTCCAGTCCTGCAGGTTTCTTCATGCTAAGTGCCTTATACAGGTGTACAATCTTTCAACTTTTATACCTTATTTTTACTGTATCTTTTATGGTTAGCTATATTTAGATACACAAAAACTTGCCATTGTGTTGCAAATGCCTACAGTATTCCATACAGTAACATGCTGGACAGGCATGTAGGCTAGGAATAATAGACTACATGTAAGCTTAGGTATTTAGTAAGCTTTACAATTTGGGGTAATGCAAGTACACTCTATGATGTTCACACAATGACAAAATTGCCCAACGACGCACACATTTCTTGGAACATATCCCCACTGTTAAGTGATGCGTGACTGTGTCTTCTCCCACTCTGTGCTTTTATTCTCTCGCTCTCTCTCTCTCTTTTTTTTTTTTTTTTTGGAGACGGAGTTTCGCTCATTGCCCAGGCTGGAGTGCAATGGTGTGATCTTGGCTCACTGCAACCTCTGCCTTCTAGGTTCAAGCAATTCTCCTCAGCCTCCCAAGTAGCTGGGATTACAGGCACCTGCCACCATGCCCAGCTAATTTTTTTTTTCCCATTTATTTATTTTATTGCATTTTAGGTTTTGGGGTACATGTGAAGAACATGCAAGATTGTTGTATTTTTAGTAGAGACAGGGCTTCACCATGATGGCCAGGCTGGTCTTAACTCCTGACCTCAGGTGAGCCACCCGCCTCAGCCTCCCAAAGTGCTGAAATTACAGGGGTGAGCCACCACACCTGGCCAGTGCTTTTATTCCCTTAATGGTGTGTTTTGATGAATATAAGTTCTGAATGATAATGTAGTCCAATTTATCAATCTTTTCCTTTATAGTTATTGATTCTTGGGCTGTAATGAGGAAATCTTTCCTGGCTCTAAGTTTATAGAGACATTTACACATGTCAAATTCTAAAAGGTTTATTGTTTTAACTTTCACATACAGCTCTACATCTACCTGGAACTTTTTTATGTTTAGTGTGAAGTAAGGTGAAAATCATCTTACCTTTATCATCAACCAAGTGTCCATATATATGTGGGTCTGTTTCTGGATTCTCTATTTTGTTCCATTGGTATATACATATATACATATATATATACATATGTATATATACACACACACACACACATACATATATATACGTATATATATATGTGTGTATATATATACACACACACACACACTAATGGAGCAACAACAACAACAACAAAATATATATATAGATTCTTTTTTTCAAGACAGATAACTGACTCTTTTGCCCAGCGTGGAGAGCTGTGGTATGATCTTGGC